AATATGATAAATATAATCCATATATCTAATATGTCCACTTGGTCAACTTGATCAACGTTGACAACTTTAGCAACTTTATCAACTTTGTCAACTATGTCAACTATGTCGATCATTTAGATTACATGACTTTATTTTAGCGCAGTCACGGATTATGGCTTCAATCCTCTCCTTCTAAATTTTGAGCTCCTACCCAAATATTTATAGCTTCGTTTACTAGGGACCAGTATACATGGCTTGGAAGTTGATAAAGGTTTTTCAACAATATATGTTTCGCTCATTGAATTTAATCTACACCTAGCATTTCATAGAGATAATAAACACGTATTGAGACAGAACTATAATATTTAGTGATAAGTCCTCTCAATTGACTTTGTTTTGCTGGTGAAGAAGTTTCTATTTCTAGAAGTTTTCCCAAGTAATAAGCATTTATCAAGGTAAGAGTCTGATCTTTCATTTGTGAAATTTTTAATAATATTCGATATGTCATTTGACATTTCTTTTGTAAGTCCATTCCATTTGAATATGGAGGAATAGTAGGAGTTACTTCTTCAGGTAAAGTTTTATTTAAATCTTCAATATAAAGTTGTTCCATAATAATAATAAATAAATATGATAAAATAAATAAAAGGAAAAATCTAAATCTGAAAAGAAGGGTCTTTATATATTTTTAAAAGATCTCTATTTACTGGATTACGAAGTACATGACCATCTAATTCTCTTATCTTATAAGAGCCATTTAGTAAGATTTGATAAATATAATAAGGTCCTTTCCATTTTTAATCCAATTTTCCAGAATGGGTTTTATCTTTTGCAGCTTCAAAGTACAAAACCTTATCTCCAATTTCATGTGAAACAGAGATCTTTGTATTTTTGTTATGGTACTTCTTTTGTTGCTGTTGTGCAAATTGTATTTGTACTTTTGCATCTAGTCACACCAGGGTAATTTATTGATCAGATGATCAATTCTTTCTTGAATAGTAAAATTCTGGTTGGTACAAAAGTCATTAGAGTCATCAGGATTATCAATAGGTAACATTGCATTTCGTCTATAAACTAAATAAAAGGGTTCAATCTTTGTGGCTGATTG